CAGACGTGTTTTCCGGCATTTCGAAAGAGCACTGTTTCCACGCTTGTTATCAGCGTTCGTTCGGCCACACACGGAGTACGCCGTTCAAGTATGGAATCCATGGTTAACCCGCGACAGGAAGGCTTTAGAACGTCCGCAGAGGCTGGCAACGAAATTGGTAAAAGGTCTACATAACAAGACATACTCCGAAAGACTGCAAATATTGGGACTCTACTCATCCCAATACCGACTTCGAGGTGACTTGATATTTGCATATCACATACTGCATCAACCTAACCACCCTTTCCGCTCTCTGCTGACTTTATCTCATAATGATCACCTCAGGGGACATCCACTAAAGGTAAAGACCCAGAACAGCCACCTTGATTGCCGGTATCACTCGTTTGCAGTCAGAGTGTGCGGCGCATGGAATTCTCTCCCATCTGATGTAGTGTGTGCTCCTACAGTTGAACTATTTAAATCGTAACTTGATAAAGCATTGGAACACTAAAAATTTCAACATCCGTGAATGATCACACACATTATTATCATTGTTATTTTATCTTTGTGAAGTTATTCAAAACATTCTGTAAAAATTCTATGGGGCATGATAAGCTTTAGCTTTGTTAAAACGCCCATAATAAAACGTTGACTTTGACTTTGCTTGCATAATTCTGCTTCCGTTTGCACTGTCTCGGATTGGCTGGTACAGTCCACCTATGGCGTGTAGTCAGAAGCCGTACGCGAGTTGTTGACGTCAGCTTTCAAATTTGGTTGATCGCAGGTGTCCAGAAACTGTAACGCGCCGCCCCAGGGTATGTATCATCATGTAGGCCTGAATCACTACACACAGGTCAAATGACAGCTATCTCAGTGAGATGCGGTGAATGGCCACCCTTCCGACAGATCACGACACGAAAGTCGCGTTTATTGCAATACGGTATATGACGGGTGATTGAACTGAATAGAAACTTGGACCCGGTTCGTGATATGGGTTCTGATACCGCAGTATGCAGCCATCTCTCATTTCTTCCGACGCGCTCACCATCGCAAGCACTTTCGAAAAGTTAAAGAAAGTGGAGGTAACTGAGGAATTGCGTTTGTATAGGTTAAATCAGGTGAACGTTCGCCTCGTGTCGTTCAGTACTATAAGAGAAGTAACCTTATAAAGATGATCTGCTTTCTTCTGTACGGTATCCGCCTATCGTTTTCAGTTCATTTACGCGGTGGAGTGACAAGAACAGCTTTCTTCAAAAAGATGTCCATCTGCTCACGTTTGTTCAGCGATCCTCCGTGTTTTTCCATAAATATTTTGGGTTATCCATTTTTGTGTGGTGTCACTAATATGTAGTGAAAACGGATCTCTACAATTTTCATGCCGCAAACCATTCTGGCTCTAGAGAGTAAATAGTACACCAATGTTTGCTTGTATTGTACTGGTCAGAAAATTCTAAATTTGAGATCACTTGTAAAAATCTGATCTGTTGAGATATCCATCTTAATTTCTCATTTCCTTTACATCTGTGTAAAATTATCGAATTCTTTGTCAGCCTCATGCTAGGTTTGACTGTCCCTCCCTCCTTGCGATGAATGCGCTCCTTTCCAGTATGCCCCTTCCGGTTCGGCTTGGTGACCTTTGGCCTCCGTATTGATTGATTCATCCTTCACGTGTGTTTGCTTGTCTCCAGACCTGTCGCTCTGCTAACCAAATGTTATCTAAAGGGATAGTCATCAATTAATTCTATCGTTTTTTCTTCGTATCGACTTAAAGATGAGCGAGATTGATTCAATTAGATTATATTGTATGCTTAGCGTGTGAGCTCTACTGTATTGAATGTACTATTCCATACACTGTACCGTAGTGGCAGTGTATGGTCCCTTAAGACCGACGTGTCTAAATCAAACCATTTTATCATCCATCTCAAGTAAATCACCCGTACAATACACCTGGGGTTCTTTTGTCTTCTGAATCCCATGCACAGCAAGCCCAATCGATTGCCCGCCAATTCAATTTAATACCATCCGCCCTGGATCAGTCGGAATATCACATGTTTCAACGAGATTTCCTTCAACATGTTCAGGAAATGAGCACCAAGTTGAGTGAGTCATTGGCGAGTGAATATTTCGTTTTTCAATTATTTGTGATCAGAAAAATACTTAGGAAGCATCTCTTTTAAATAATAAAAACATTCTCCTGTTTCCCCTGTCTCCTTTCAGATCTCGGGTTGATCACTGGTTCACCGCTAGCCGGGGGTTTTCTCACAGGTAAATACCTGGACGGCATTCCAAACTATTCGAGAGCATCACTTAAGGTAAGTGGACTGTACTGTTTTTCTGCACAAACTTGAGGGATAGAACGATTACACATGTTCACCAAAATCTGTGATAGGATAACATTCAAAATTGAATACATATGAAGCAAAACCAGGAACGGAGTGAACTTCATGCTGCTAAACGTAATTTATGCTGGTTTAACATTCACAATTATTTTGTAATCTTTGGTTTTTTAAATCATCCATTTTATTTATTTCAAAAATCATCGTCTTCGTATATGCCGATAGATGCAGTTAAATCGAACTAACTGAATCCTTGATGAAGATCAGCGGCAAAAGTATAGCAGCTATGTTTTCACTAGTATGCATGAATTACGCCAGTCTCATTGAGAAATTCAACTTTCTCACTCGTGTCATCCACTTTGCTGTGGTGCATCCTTGAGTCGGTTTGAAATTTTGCTATATTATTTTGATCGATCAAATTTGTTGTGTTGTAACTAGCACACCGTTGATCGTCCCACCGGTAGAGCCATTCGTTGTGTAACATCATTGCCCTAGAAAACCGGTTCAACATCTATAAAACTGATGCCCCAGAAAATCGCCTTGTGCACAGAGATAGATATACCAGGTTAAACTTTGCATTCCTACAAACGCGCACACACAAATAACTGTCTCCTATTGCATCTTTATTAATGCAACAACCCTCAAACAGAGCCAATACACCTTGTTGGAACGAATCATTAGTAGCAAAGGACGGGCACAAGCGGATCAGATACGGCAACTTGCCAACTTGGCAAGTCGCATTCAGTGTACTTGTGCGCAACTGGCAATTGGTGAGTTTGACTCAAGCTGTCAGGCCTGTATCGGGTTTATCTTTTCTGTCTGTGACTAACCGCGGTTCCGACCACTGTGATAACCCGAAAGCTTTCTGCATCCCCATATATTTCCTGGAATGAAAAATCTTGATTAGTGGGGTATTGTGGAAAGTACTTGTCATTTTTTGGTTTGTTGACTGAATGGCGTGAGTATGAAACCAAGATGCACACAACTAGTGCAGTTATTTTGTTAACTTACTTTTGATTTTCTGTAACAGACTTCTCTGAAACAAAGCGCTTTTTCCTTAACTGTTTGCTTCAGTGGAAGTTGATTTCAGTTTGTGAAAGCTCTATACAAGATAAGATCTGAACTTATCTTATAATGTTCGGTACGAGAATCTACTAATGAAGATGAACTTCCGATTTCTAGTCCAATCAAGCGATAATGAATCATTTTATTGTATCGATATT